AACAGTGAAAATTATTTAGGATGTTTTGCATATGGTAATATGCGAGTATGGTATATAATACAAAGGTTGAAGAGTTGAACTTCTCAATTTTGAGTTGATATCCTTACGCTATTTCAAGTGACTAGAGAATTATTTTAGCTAATTAATTCAATTAAGTAGGGTAATTATGCGCTTTACTAGTTACAAAAACAACAAATAGCTTAGGGCCAAAGTGCTGCAATAACAACAGCAAAATCATAAAAACGCCAATATAATAAAAAAAATAGTCGCAATCGGTTCATTAAGCAATAAATGAGTATTTATTTTATTTTAAATGCAATAAGTCCATTGCCATGGTAAAGCGGAATTCGGACGTAAGAAATAATTTGCGATGTAGTTCCTTAAAGCTTGCGCAGTGGAGATTTCGTCTACTATAATACTGAACGGCATTGGTATATTTGCAGATTGATAGTGGGTGTTTTCCCGAACTTGTGTAGTACTCGTATATAATGTGCCGTCTTTTTTGCGTATGAGCTTATGCAAACTGCATGCACACTGCACTATTGAAATAATTGTCGTAATTTTTGCAGCGAATTGTTGACATAAACACTTGAAACTTTTGGGTCACCATGCCGAAAGTGCACTCAATATTTTTTCGCGCTCGACTCAGCCTGTAGTTGAATATGCGCATTTTATTGCCTATACCTCGCTCTGGATATGGCCGCATTATATTCTTCCTAATTGGAAACGCAGCGTCTGCTACAAAGTAAAACGGAAATTTGGTTCCGCTCTCGTCGTGGGGTAGTTCTTTGGGTAGTGGTACTTCAGAGCTTCTTTCCAACCATAGCTGCAGCTGTGAAACTCTAAATACGTCTCCATCGCTGTTTCGTCCAGCAAACCTGGTCTCAATAGTTGTAAAAAATCCGTCCGCATCGCTACTGGCAAGTAAGATTATAGAATGATAGTTCTTGTAATTGTAATTAGCCGATCCAGACTTCGGTTACTTTTCAATGCGGATATCTATTGCACCTAAACAATTGGGCATTTGCCATAACTCATAAAAGCGATGCGAAATTCGAGTCCATTCATCGCGATTCGGCATTACCATATATGTTCCATTGAGTATATCCCAAATTTTTTTGGTCGTTTCTTCAACAGCGAGACCAATTGTGCGTTCGCCCCGCTGAAAATACAGCGCTAGTGCGGTATATGTACATCCGGTTGCTAAATATCTGCAATGAATATACATATGTATGTATATTGTTTTGTCACCAAAATTAGTAGCTCAGTAAGGGAAATCTGGAGGTTTTTGCATGGTAGTTGTTTTTGAATTATTTGTGGGACCTAACCAGACGTGGAATTACCGACATCTTTAAAAAGGGTTCGGTTTTTTAAAAAGAGTGAAACCAAAATTTAAGGGCCTCAACTAAACTATTCCTAAACATTAGTACCCATCGTGGCAATCAAATCTTAAGGGTATTTGCATTAAAGTTGTCACCATGCAAAGATTTGCCAGATTACCATGTTTAAACTTCTGTGACTGAACAATTACTTTATTACGTTTTCATTCTTTTATAGTCGCTGATTGCAAAGACAAATGGAAAAATGTCCGAAATAATTTCGTTCGAAGTTTAAAAGAACCTCCAAGTGGTTCATCAGCAAAAGCCAAGAAGCCGTATTACTTGCATGACATTTTGCAGTTTATGCTACCTTATGTAAGAACCGTACAGCATTCAGAGAAGAACAACAGCAATATTTTGCTGTCCGATATGGATATATCGACGGAAATTGAAGAAACAGATACTGAACAAAATACTTCCAATTCGGTTTTCCAACCAGCAAAACGCAATCTTCCTACGGAATGTACAAGTAACCTAAGAAAGAAAAAAAAGGCAGGTAATGGAGAGGAAGAAATTGCTGGTGCTGTTTTACAAATTGTAAAAGAAAGGCAAGATAAAAAGGGACCTTATGAAGGTCGTCGATTGTTTTTAATGAGTCTGCTATCAGATGTGGAGAAGATGACGGAAGAAGACTACACGGAATTTAGAATTTACTGCCTTACAGGAATTCAAAAATTTATGAGAAATTCTACAAACAATTTTAATTTG